TTGGGGCAGCTTATAAGTGCGTGAGACATTTTTTAAAACGCCGCGGTACCGTTTGTTTCGCACTTTTCGCCCGCTTATGTGAAAAACGCGGTTGGATTTTTACACTAAACGCAAGCCGTGAGTCGAACCCCGCAGTCGACCCACGGGACGCGTTTCAGGATAAGTTGTGTATCCTGAAACACACAAACTGCCCAAAACGCAACATAAATGTTAGGGTGCATTGTGCAGCGGGCCAGATGTTAGGACGACTATATAGTTATTTATGAGTTGCAGGATAATTTGTTTATCCTGAAACGCATAAGCTACCCCAAACGCAACATAAATGTTAGAGCGCATTGTGCAGCGGGCCAGATGTTAGGACGACTATATAGTTATTTACGATAATTTTTTTTGCAGGAGATTGTGCTTAGTACGGTAGTTGTTAAATAATGAATACTAAATTGATATGCTTTTATGCAGACACTTAAAATAAAAAGCCCCCAAGCACAGTCTATAGGTTATGAGACTTGGAGCTGCAGGACGACACTTGTTACAAATAGGCCATTGTGTTTGCTTATGTTTTATTTGTTCTTCGTGAAAACTAACATTTTTGTGCAGTGCGACACTAGTTCAAAATGTTAGGACAACTATATAGTTATTTTTGACATTTGTTTCTGCAAGAGATCGTGCTTAGTAGGGTAGTTGCTAAACAATAAATACTAAATTGTAATGTTTTTATGCAGGCACTTAAAATAAAGTCTCTAAGCACAATCTATAGGACACGGGGCCTGGTGCTTCAGTGTGACACTAGTTCCAAATAGACTGTTGTGTTTGCTTATGTTTTATTTGTTTTTCGTGAATACTGACATTTTCTTGTAGGGTGCCATACTAAGTGTATGGTTGCACTTCTTGTTGAGTTCGTATATAGTTTGTCCTTGTTTGTTGGTTTTGACTGTCTAGACCATCTGAAGTGGGACCCGCAAGATGACAAATGTGGATGAACCTCATCTCAAACAAAAAATGATGATTAACCTCAACTCAAATAAAAGATGAGATTGAACCTAACTCAAATAGAAGATGAGCATGAACCCAATCTCATACAAAAGATGACGATGAACCTCAACTCAAATAAAAGATGAGATTGAACCTCAACTCAAATAGAAGATGAGATTGAACCTCAAAGTACCATAACATGAATTGAACTCCTCGAGAATGCCTAGTTGACCAACGAGCCAACCTCAGGTTTAAGAGTGGTCATCCAACCTTTTTTTTTTTTTGTGGTGTACGGTAAAATTCATTTGTACCTACTTTATTGAGTTATTTGATTTGTGAGATTGTCATGGTTGTTTTATATATGATTATTTTTGTTTGTGCTTGCTTAGAATTTGCCTCTTTTCCTATGTTTGTTGGTGACGTGTTTGCTTTTAGCCTAATTGATTTTGATTGGCTGTTAAGGACTAATTTTTAAACCCCATTTAAAATAACTTAAATCTAACTTTTTAAAATCAAACTCATAACCGAACTAAAATAAAATAATACATTGTATTGATACGTTAAAAATATCATTGCTTATAAACAACAAAATGAAATAAAGTGAAAGTGACTAGTAGCCCCTTGATTTAGGATTAGACATAAAAAGATCACCCTTAGGCATATGCATATATATAAAATATTTTTTTTCTTTAGGACCTTACTCAATGCACGGAAAGGGGTGATTTGACCTGGTAGGATTACCATCTTAGTGTCTACATTTTCATGCTCGAATTGGACTTAAATTAATCTTCCGTGCATGCATCATCAAGGATTGCATACCTATACACAAGTCGCTTATCACTTCACACTAAAATATGAATCAAATGAAAAAAATATTTAGTTTAAATAGGATAAAATTTTAATTTAATGTTGCAAATAGAATTGATTTGCAATAGAATTGATTTGCATTAATTGTAGGAATTTGTGCATGCATTTCATACTTGAGCATCTTTATTCTCATAATCAAGTTGTAACACATACTTTCTCTCTCTAATAAATAATAGCCCATCCTATCCTGCATTTCATAATATTAAACATACTTGATGTTGAGATCTTAGGTAGGTTTAGCTGGCAATCATATCTAGGCAAGGTTGTAAGTCCAGTAAAGTTGAGCTTGTCCGGTATTTTGTGGGATCATGTCACAAGTCCTTGTGTGTTACATTTCTTATTAGACTAGGTCTAATATTTTACTCGTTCAGTGAACCTCAACCTTAGTCTAAGGATTTCGATGTTGTTTATTTTGCTACAATTTAAGTCTTCGCTTTCTAGGTTTTTTTTTATGATCAAATACCATTAGGATATAAGTCTTAAATTTTCTAAAAAAAATTTCAACTCAAATAATAAATTCTTCAATTTAAAAATCGATGAATTCTAATAATATGATAATTAAAGTGTCACTGAGTTTCTCAATATATATACATTTCCTATTTTTTTTCTCATTTAGGTTTCAATAATAATTGTTCCATTTTGATCTTTCCAATTTGAAGAATCTAAATAAGCAATCGTGAAAATTAAACTTAAAAATTCTTGAAGACATAACTTCAGTCTTGATCGAAAGTTTTCTTAAGAGATTCTATCTCCTAAGTTATAATTAACTATATGGACTTGCTTTTATAAAAAGTTTGTAACCCACATTAATCTAAATCGTATCCAGTCTTTGGGCAAGGTAGGAGAACTATTTATTGATTTAAATATAAAGCCATCAAATATTGAATATAATTTTTATTCAATTAATCAAATTCATCATAAAATGGTATTTCTATCTTTCAACAAATATATTATTTTTGATATTATCTTTGATTATTCTAATGAGATAAATATTCAAAATATGTGTGGTGGACACAAAATAAACCAACTATTGGCATCCATTTGATGAGATGTATACGGGACATCCTCGCTGAGTGCGCGACACTATAATTAGGGTCTACACCATCGTAATTGTGCTATGAGTCGATCGTGGCCAAGCCGACATTGCTTCCAGTATCCTCCAGCTTGACGGTCGTCAGGGATGTATCCAGCTAATACAGACATTCCGGTGACGCAGATTGTCGACAAGAGTACCCTGTACCGTCTTCAGATCTTAAGCAGAAGGTCCAGCTAGACGAAATTCATGAGGAAGTTGTTATACTCTGTGGCAATTATACATTTCATCTCCTTGAGGTCTTCTAAAATGCATTTTTGGCACCTACTGAGGATCAAGTATCACAACTTGCTTATATTCGATCTTCTGGAGGTTCTACGAGGCCTGGAACCCTCCTGACAAGCTTTTCTCGAAGCTCAAATTTTTTGTGGGTCTGGTGTGACCACACCTAATTTGGGTGTGGCCACGCCTAACCAGTGGCATGACCATGCCTAAACCAAGTGTGGCTAAGCCAAACCTTCCTCAAAAGCTCAAAAATCTTTATAAGTGGTGTGACCACACACGCATAATTATGCCGGTCCTCGGGCCGGGCCACACCAAGCCCTCGTTCGCGACACTGTGAACAGTGGTGTGACCACACCGAGTTCAGCGTGGCCACACCACCTAAGCCCCTCTCTCTAAAATGGACCTTCGGTCTCTTGATTCCCGCTGGCTAGGAGGCCGGGGCCGCTGGTCCTTACCCTATTGCTTAGTTTTCCACCTAAAAACAGCATGTGAGATATTTTGGGTACATGCTAAATTGGGAAAGCGGCCTTGGAACCTTGGATCTTCTTCCTATAGTTGAATAACTCATGGCAAAGAGCTCATTTGAGCTAACTAACCACAAATTAGAGGAGTAGAGGATCTTGGGAGCAAGAGAGCTTTCAAGGGGCTTTCTTGAGAATATTTTCATCATCCTCAAGGAGAAGGTGAGAAAGAACATTTTCCTCCATCTTCTTATTCTCCTTTTTTCATTTCACGACCTTCTTCTTCGGCTTCATCGATTCTCCAGTGACTCTCCGGTAAGGAGAGCTTCTTCTTAACTTTCAAGGAGGATTCATTACCATTCATATTTATCTCATATTCAATGCTTGAATATGAAATTAATTGAATATGACATTAATTGAATATGACATAAATTGAACATGAAATAAGACGTAAAAAATAATAGTAATGCTTTTTTGAAGTACCAAATAATATGATATATGTCATATAAGTAATTGAATCGATGAACATTGAACATTTCCTTCTTCCGATTTAATTTTAGATCCGATTTTAACAAACTTGCTTTTTTTGGTTCAATAAAAAAAATATTAGCACCTCATCTAAATTATTTTATGCTGGTGCACTTGATCTCTAAATACTATTAAAAAACATAAATTTTTACTATTCATTAATGTGGGCTTTAAAATAAGCCACTTTTCTAATTATTCTAATCAAAGAACAAATAGACCTTAAATGCACATTGATTTAAATATTTAAAATTTAAATTATATGACATCAAGTTGAGCATGCTATCCGGGTGCACGTATTTATTTGATAGAAATTATTAAGAGCCTAACCATACAGGATAATGATAAAATTTTGAAAATAAATAAATCGATATATATATATATATAAGGATGAAATAAGAAATAGTCAATAATTAAAAAAATGGCGCCAATAATATCAAGAATAGAATAATTGAGAGACCTCACTATTTTTTAATATATAAAATAACTGATCGAAATTACAACTATGGGGAATTATAGAATTAATGCTACAGAATTAGGGGAAAAAATGAATCCACGCGTTCGCATTCCGTGGCTTGTTGTAGAGCAGTCCCTCTGAAGTCGTAAATTCCCTCATGTTCATGGGTTTAAATCCCTTGGTGGCGCAATGTCGTCTTAAGCCACACACCAGGTCACCCCCAGAGCTGGCAGGTGTTGAGCCCATTAAGGTGAGTTGGGGACCTCACACCCCGGCCCATTCTTTGAATATATATATA